ATTCTCTCTATCAGATAAATAAATAAAATATTTTTTAAAAAAAATAAAATTTCCAAATGTTTTATAATATGGTTGTTTTCTATAAGGAAAGATTTTATGACTGCAAGGTTTTTTGAACACTGGGAAGAGTTACTGAAGTTACAAATTAAAAAAAAAATTTTTTGCCCTCCCCAAACAGGATACTTTTCTTCTATCTGAAACGCTTCAACTACTGTTCTATCTGAATAAACAAAATCACCTATAAATTACACCCCTTTTTAGCACTGGGACTCTATGATGCATTATCAATCTTTATCAAACAAATAAAAAATACTATCAACCTAAAAATTATAGAGAAGCCAAGGTATTCATTCATTCAATTAGTATGTACTGCTTGCCTGCTATGAGTCAGCTGTTTGGCTAGTTGGTGGAGAACCCTGAGTTAGTCAAGAACCTTGCTTTCATGGAGCGTACAGCAATTTCAAGATGGCAATTCCTCCTTGGCCAATTTTTAAGCCAACATCACTGTGCCGAAGGGCAGGGAGCACCGGCTCCAGGCTCAGTAGCGGCAGCCAGTGATCAGGCCTACTAGGGAAGGGAGGTTGGGCTGATCCATGTCAAAGCTTCAACATGGGTTCACCCCCTCCTGGACCAAGACTGACAGTCAAAGAAGGAACCCTGAGAGAGTACAATGGTTCCTGGGAGCTTCCTTGGCCCTGCGGGGCAGTTTCTATGTCATCTTTCTTTAGGTTCCTTGGGGGGAAAATGGGATAGACACAAATGACTGAGAAGACAATCAGCAATTTCTGAGAGTTAGCTGGTCTTGAATCTTATAATTAAGAGAAAGAACCTACTATTTAACCAAGCTGTACCTCTGAGAAGACAACTCTAAAACCCTGTGAATGTCACAGTATAGATTATGGTTCCTGAACATACACTGCCACCATCATTACCAGTGTGAACACTGTGACGCACTTGGGTTAGGTCTGACCTGAGAACTCCCTCCTGATCCGGAAACAACCTGCTTAGGGCTCAAAACACATGTCCATTTTATTGTAAGCTAAATCACATTCACTTGAAAGGTACAGTGAGGACTGTTAATTCAGGGATATAAAAACCATTTTGTGTTATTTCAGGGATATAAAAAAACTCATAATAAATAGAAAGATGGTTAAACTCTATGCTACCTTCCCACAAATAAACAGCCATTTAAATGAAAAGATACAGACCCCTACGGACTTCTCCTTCATCTTCCTTTATTGTTTTGCCACTCAGTGAGGTTAGCCTAATCTCCTTGGAACTAGATCCCTTTTCATACTTCTTCAGGTTGCTAAGCAGACACTCAGTGTGCTGAGTGTGACAGTCTGGTGAAAATTTAAGATGGCTAGAAGATCCTTTAAATCAAATTTTAGACTCCATCATGTCTATAATAAAAGTAGGGAACTTACATTCACAATGTGTTACTCAGCCAATGCCCCAGCCACATGTTACGTATCTCACCTTCGATACAGCTTGGACTGTCCGAAAGTCATAATTACCAGTGGTACATGGAAGGTGGTCAAGACTAGAATGATCTGGGAAGAGACAAAAGCATGCAGTCAATAAGAAAGATAGTCCAATTACATGCTTGCATGTGATGGGATTAAATCAACATCTAAAAATTGCCAATAGCCCTGCTCTGTGGTAGCCTACACTGTAGTGTCAGAAAACCAAGAAGGACCACGTTCCTAGGGCTCACAATGACTCAAGATCTCAACTCATTTTGTTGAAATGGTCCCATCACATACACTTGAAGTAGTGAGGCAGAGCTAATCAACTACACATTATAATAAAGGAAGGGTTTAACTATTTTGTATCTCTATTATCGTAAGATATTCTCAGGCAAAGATCATCCCTCTTTCTGCTTACAGAGGCTAGGATAGTATGGTGTTCTAATAGAGGTCACTATGTCATATACATTTGCCCTTTTCTTCCTCTCCTCGCTGTTAGTTCTCTGTGAAATTAATTTTTCAAATAAGTACTTTTCTAGACACAAATATGCATGAGGAACAGACTCTGATAGTAGATGAGTACAAGAGGCTATGAAGTCTCAAATAGCCATATAACAAGAAGTCTTAGAGATACCAACTATCTTAGACAAATGGATAAATCATGGAAATTGGTGCACTACTCAAATTTTAGAAGAAACTGAGACATAGTTAAAGACATTCTACCGGAAGTTTAAAACTTAATGAAAATAAGACATTTTAACTTTCTTGTCAACCCCAAAATTCTATTTCTTTTGATTCCTGATACCACCGTCATGGGCCTCAGTGCTATGATGTAGACATTACCAGAATACCAGAGGGTATGAGCTGTGGCCCCTGCCCTTGTTCAGACACAAGGACACAGAGCTGGGCCACGCCAAGCCCGGACTCAAGCCCCGAAGACCCGAGGCCACCCTTGGTGCGCCCTCCTCCTGGGAGGCTATATATACAGGCGTACACAGGGTAAGGAGCTGACAGACTCTCCCTCCATGCCGCCAGTCCTGGCACTGGCTCCCCCACGGCAGGGGAAGAGACAACAGATGGAGCTGGACAGCCGCGAGCCCACGGGCGCCACAGTCCTTCAATGCTAACTGTGGGAAAGGACACAGGAACAATACAGTTTGGAGGAAAAATGCCAAGATGTGCAATGTGCAGTTTTCTGCTGCTACACAGGGGTTTTCCCAAGTATTGTGAGGCTCCCGTCGGAGCACCCGGCACTCTCCTTCCTCTTTCTTCTTCGTGCTCATCTTGATGCCAAGCAGCCTCCAAAAACTAAAAAGGTGTCTATCTTGCTATTATGGAAAAAGGTGGTCACAAGATGTTCCCAGTTCTAAAGCAAAACCAAAACAAGCACAGCTTCCTGAAAGTCTGTACTGCAAACATGCGCTTTCTGCAACGGAGGTTGGAGACCATTTCAGAAAGTAACAACATTCAGCGTTTAAACTCCTAAAATCCCCATCTTCTTCTTGCTACACTGAGTTAACAGACTCAAAATACTACTTACCCCAGTGCCATCGCCAACCCAGGACAAGGATACTGAGACACTGAGATCATCAAACACATGCTATAAGGGAAAAAAAAAAATTTATTTAGAAATGACATCTGTCTTCCGATCTCTGGCTTCCTTAAATAATTCAGAACACTATTACTTTCAAAGTAATTAAGTTCATAATTATAAGGGGGTATGAATTCCCAGAAAAATCTGGGAGAGCCAGGACTGAACTACTTAACCCAAATTACAAATAACTTGGACATTTTAATTCTCTCTCATACGAAGTAAGCCAAGCAGATGAATTTTCTTACTGCACCAGATGGGGAGACGGAATAATCTAATTGCTTTCTCCAACAGAACTAAATATAAAGATATAGAAAATATTCTTAGGATGCTTTAAAACAAGAGATCACAGCCCACACTGACAGAAATAATTGTAACCCAATCGGCATAATTTGAATTCTTCTAGGCAGCCTTCACAGTATAGTTAATAGATGGATTCCTTTTGCTCCTAGGCTAACTCACTCACTCAAAATGGCAAGGAACAGAAGCAAGAGTCAATGCCCTGTTTCACCTTTACATAGTGACAATGGGGGCACCTGGGTGGCTCAGTCCATTAAGCGTGTGACTCTTGACTTCGGCTCAGGTCATGAACTCAGGACTGTGAGATCAAACCCCATGTCAGGCTCTGTGTTCAGTGAGGAGTCTGCTTGAGATTCTCTCTCTCCCTCTGCCCCTCCCCCTGCTCTCTCTCTAAAATAACAAAGTAAATCTTTAAAAATAAATAAATAAATAAGTAAATAAATAAAATAGTGGTTGGTGATGATGATGAATTATGATAGAAGAACTGTCTTAGCAGTTGTGGTAAGACTGAGGAAAAAGAAAAGGGAAAGCTGGTATATTATATCCAAGATACGGTACGCATGTTGGCATGTAGTTATAATAATCATCACAGATGCTTTAGGGTTTTGGTTTTTAAATACTTTCTCTATTTACAAAATAATACATACCCATTATAGAAAATGTGGGCAATAATAGGGAGGTATAATAAAGAAAATATAAATTATTTATAATCCTATCACGCAGATATTCAAGGCTAACATTATGGGTATAATCTTCTAGTCTATCATTTTTTAAATTAAATTAAATTTTTTATGTTATTTTATTATTTTTTTAATTTAAATTCAATTAGCCAACATACAGTACATCATTAGTTTTTGATGTAGTGTTCAGTGATTCATTGGCTGCGTATAACACCCAGTGCTCATCACATCACGTGCCCTCCTTAATGCCCATCACTCAGGTACCCCATTGCCCCTCTCTATCATTTTTTTTAACTGATAAAGAATTCCAAAAAGGCAATACTGGCACTTAGTAAAAATTTCCAACCATAGACAGATGTATACAGTCGATCCTTGAGCAATGTGGGGGAAAGAGGTGCCACCCCCAGCATGGTCAGACAGTCACATATAACTTTTGACTCCCTCAAAACTTAACTACTATAGGCTACTGTTGACTGGAAACCTTACCAATATCATCAATAGTAGATTAACACATTTTGTATGTTATATGTACTATATGCTGTATTCTTGCAATAAAGTTAGAGGAGATAAAATGTTATAAAGAAAACCATAAAGAAGAGAAAATATATTTACCAGACGACGACAACAACAACAACAACAACAACAAATCACATGTAAGTGGACCCGTGCAGTTCAAACTCACGTTGTTCACGGGTCAAACGTATAATAAAAAGTGAAGATCTTTCCTCTTCGATAACCACGTGCCCCACCACCTCAAGCCCCACTCCCCCGAGCAGTTAACAGTTTAGTATATATTTTTGCTAAATGTTGACGATTATGCTTTTCACTTACAAAGACTTATTATATCTTATGAAGTTTTTTAATCTTAAGCATGCCCTCCTTTCCGAGTATGAGCAGTTCCTTAGAAGCAGAGGCCATAACTTTATCCTTCTTAGTATTCCTTGTGCCTGACATGACACTTTACACCCTCCATAAGTATTTGCTGAAAACGGTTATACATCCTTCCCCAACCACAAGCTCCGTCTCAAAATAGAACACGTCCATAAATGGTGGGATGCCAGCCGCTTGGTCACTGCAGCCACTACCCCAACGGAGAAGTCTGAAGAAATACGACTCAAAACACTAACTGTTTTGCTTATCTTCTCATTTTCTTTCATGGTCCTCCTGAACGGGTTTCTGTATTCACCTGTTATTTCCCCCCGGACTGTGAGTACCTGTGAGATCAGCAGAAACTCTTGTACAATCTCTGGAAATGGTACAATCAGTGCCTCACGGAGGGCTTGCTTGCGAAATGCTGCTTAACTCTCAAATGCTCAGGCAGACCTTCTCACAGCCTCTGCAGGACAGAAAGGCCACTCATACAGGTAAGCTGGCTAAGCATCTGAGAAAAAGTAGGGCTGCTAGAGACATCTGGAACCAGCAGCTTAAAAACTGACACAGCAATGTGTCTTGTAAGATATTCCATGCAGAGCAAGACGGCCTGTTCTCTTGAGTGAGGATATAGTGTCTGAAATTACATCAATGAGCTCCTTGAGGAGCAGGAATACCCAGAGCTCCCACAGGCACCAGAGAGACCACATGGGCTCACAGTCATCTAAACACAGGCTATCTTTCCAAGGAAGGCTCTGGTCATCACAACTGACTAGGATAAAAGAAAAATTCCATCACTGGAGTCCTGGCTATCTTGATCAGGCCACAGTATAGTTAGTCTTGAGCCAATCAGGATCTGCAACTCTCGCTTTTCAGACAAAGCTCTACACACCTGACCCAGCCAGTCAATACACATTGGCATTACTCATATTTTCCTCTTGCCCAGGCACAGAAGGAGGAGGGTCATTAGATATCACCAGTGACACCCAGCTTCACCTGAACAACTCAAAGCATAGTTGGCCTCATTTATCATCCAAAGAGTTCCTCTGGAAATGTAGGCCAGATTTATTAACTCTAATTGTGGTCTTCTGCTACCCTTAGCCCTCTCTCCTTTCCCTTTCCATAACCAAGTACATTTTACTTTTGAAAACACACAAACTCATTGGAAAAAACCCATCTCTCTATGGCAAATGCAACTAACTTTTTATATTCCAGTCTTTAGCATTCTTATACTAGTGAAAGTAAAAGAGAAAAATGAAATCAGATCTAAGGCCGCCTGGGTGGCTCAGTTGTTAAGCATCTGCCTTCGGCTCAGGTCATGATCCCAGAGTCCTGGGATCGAGCCCCACATCGGGCTCCCTGCTCAGCGGGAAGCCTGCTTCTCCCTCTCTCACTCCTCCTGCTTCTGTTCCCTCTCTCACTGTGTCTCTTTCTGTCAAATAAATAAAATCTTTAAAAAAAAAAAAAAAAGAAAACGAAATCAGACCTAACAACAGACCAAACCTCAGGTGGAAAGAAAAGGTCATATGGAAAGAAAAATTAACCCTCGTCTAAATACTATTCTGGTCTTGCCTTAAAAAGCTTAAAAAAAAAAACAAAACAACAACAACCAAGAGCAAAAAGGACCAATCCACTGCCAAGGAACCTAACTATGCCCCAGACCAAAGTTCAAGATATTTATAGGAATATAAAAATATCTAGTACTAGAGAAGATAAAATTCACAATGTCCAACACTCAATCAAAAAAAAAAAAACCAGGCATGCAAAGAAGAAAACAGGAACCATAATGAGGAGAAAAATCAATCAAACTGACCCAGAAATAACACAGATAATAGAACTAATAGACAAGGACATGAAGACAGCTGTAATTATACTCCACAGGTTCAAGAAATTAGAGAGGGCGCCTGGGTGGCTCAGATGGTTAAGCGTCTGCCTTCGGCTCAGGTTATGATCTCAGGGTCCTGGGATCGAGTCCCGCATCGGGCTCCCTGCTCCTTGGGAGCCTGCTTCTCGCTCTGCCTCTCTCTCTCTCATGAATAAATAAATAAAATCTTTAAAAAAAAAAAAGAAATTAGACAGTAGATTGAGCATGCTAAATAAAGGCACAGAAGATATGAAACAGACTCAAACTGGACTACTAGAGATGGGAATTACAGTGTCTGGGGTGAAAATTACACTGGACCGCATTAACAGGAGAGGAGGCACTGCAGAAGAGGACATTAATAGACTCGAAGCCTTACCCATGGAAACTGTCCAAGTGAGACACAGCAACAAAGGCAGGAAAAATGAACAGAGCATCACTGAGCTATAGAGCCTCAAGTAACCTAATAGATATGTAATAGGAGTCTCTGGAAGATGGGGTGGGGGGAGGTGGGAACAGAAAAAAAAAAAAAAAGGAAGTAAGAGACCAAAGTTTCCCAGATTTAATGAAAAGTATAAACCCAGAGAGCCAAGAAGCTCACAAATCCCAAGCTTAAGGAGCACAATGAACACTACACCAAAGCACATCATATTCAAAATGTTTAAAACCAGTGACAAAAATCTTAAAAGCATCCAGAAGAAAAAATGACCTTACATACAGAAGAACAAAGAATCATAGCGGACTTCTCCTTAGAGTGCAAGCCAGTGGATCAGGATCTTTAAAGAACTAGGGGAAAACTGTAAAGATAAAATCCTATACCCAGTGAAAATAGTTTTTAATGCTGACTTTAGAAAAGAAAGTTCTGTTCTTCTGAACTTGTTTGCTGCCCCTTGGTATTACATGGTGGTTGTTCCTTTTCTGAGAGCCACAAGAGAGGGACTACACCAGTGCAAAAGATCTGAAAGATAACTGAAATCTCAACTTTCCGTGTAAAACCAACCGTTCCGGTTCCTAATGATCACAGCTCACGCGATCTCCTCCTAGATATTATTCTCACATCACTTATGGATGTTGCTGGTACCATAACTATTTACATATTTGGCTACCCCTCAGGTCACGCTAGGTAGTCTTAGATGGCAGGCACTGTGATCTGGTATTACCCATCAGGCCTAGCACAAGGTCTTATATGTCTTAAGTGCTCCACAAATATCTCTGTACAAGTCTATTCACAACCCCCTGCCACCAACATTACTGACCTGTGTGTAATCTTCCTTCTAGCACGGTTACCAACATTTCAGTAAATAATGGCTGAACAGGGATTCTTCCTATGCCCTTTCTGCCAGCCGAAACACTGTTAACACTAGGACATGTTCTGGGGTGCTTATACACCTAATAGTGACCTCACTCCTCTCCTCCCCACTATAATTACCATCAACTCCATATGGCCCAAACTGGTAAGGATGCCCTGCATGCAGCACCGGCCAGGGGCAGACGATACAGAACAGAAATGCACACATTTGAGTATGAAGAAACAGAGGTCTGTGCACTGAGATTTAAGCAGGGCGTCCAGAGGTAGGAGTGGCCACAAGCAACAGCAACATGGCGGGAGGAGGTTGTTGTGCAGGGAAAACAAACATGAGGATACACGCAAGCCTTCTGAGAAATGTCAAAGGATAACACAAGTAACATATTAATGTCATCCACCAGTCACGTGCTGAGTATACAGTAGATGTGCTAAGTGCTTGTTCAAATGAATAAGAATTTTAAGATCAGGATAGACAAGCTGTGGTGGGAATAGAAGGAAAATAAAATTACAGTAAAGGAAATGTGTACGAGAAGAACAGTACCTCTGACTGAATGCCCACAGAAAATGGAGATGAGGCCACAGGATCACCTACTCAATTAGGCATGGTTTCCAATGGTATATACAGCTGAACAGCATCAACCAATAAGTTATGGTTCAATTGTTCTAATCAAGGCAAAGTAAGATGAACAATAGAAATATGAGGAGAGGGCAAGGCTGTGTGGCTAGGAAGACCTGAAAGGCAGAATAATCCCTTTTACGAGGAGAAAACCCCAAACCTTCAGCACAATATTACCAATGAATAGCTTACGATATTAAAATACTGAACATGTAAAAACATGTAGATATGTAGGAGTCGAGGAGTCCAGCCAACAGAAGGTACAGTGAATGTCTACCTCAAGCACTGTTGGAAAAGCGATGCTATATGCTAGCTGTACACACAACTGAAATGGAGAAGGTGGGGAGAGCTGAAACCCGTTTTACGTCTGGAAAACAATAGCTGTGTTGCTCCAATGTAGTATGCCTAAGAGGTAGATTCTTTAGCACAAAGAGAACATGATCTGGCCACTTCATATTGCTAAATGTCAGCCAAATGTACAATGCAGAAGCAGGTCAAAATTAAGGGAAACCATGTGAATATGCTGTTTATATGATGAACAGTCCAAAAGCCAGTATCCAGAGGGGCCACCGAATAAATACAGTAATTCCAATTACTTAATCATACCCTATGGTAGGAAGCTCAGAAACCAAGCAGTTTAAGACTAGCTATGTAAAAATGTCAGCTCGATTCAATCAAGAGCAGATGAGCATGAAACTTGCCACTTCTAGAGAGAGATTTATTAGTCTCCTAGCACGGTTACTGGCACAGGAACAGATAAGACAGATCAGTGGAACGAAACAAAGTCCAAGACTGGGCAAGGTTTCTTTTAGTGTATGATCAAGCTAGCATTTCAAGTTAGTGGTCGAAGTGTTGGAAAAACTAGCTATCTGGAAAAAATAAGCTGGATCCCTAAAGCCCTTCTTACCCCCACTCCCAAATAAATTCCACCTACAGCAAAGATTTAAATATAAAAATTCAAATCTTGAAAATCCTAGAAGTATGAGTGACTATTTTTATAATCTTAAAATGAGAAGACCATTTCAAAAAATGATGCAAAAACTGGAACCCATAACATACTACAGGAATTACTTGGACTACATAAAAAATTTTTTTAATGGCAAAATACAAAATAGCAAGTTGAAAAAAATGGAAAAATTATTTGCCACAAGACAAAGGGTCACTATAGAAAAGGGTTGTCAAGTCAATAAGAAAAAGACAAAGACCGCCAAAGAAAGTAGGCAAAAGACATAAACAGGCAATTCACAAAGGATAAGGAAATGGCTAATAACATGTGAAAAGCTATTCAATTTCACTAGTAATCCAAAGAAAAATAATGTAATGACATTTCCACCTTCCAGAAGAGCCTGACAGAGCATACCCAGTGAGGACACGGTGACCAGGCACCTGTGTGCACTGTGGGAAGGAGCGTATCACGTGCTACCACTTTCCTGCAGAGCTGCTCAATGATGTGAGTCAGAACTGAAAATGTCCACATCATGTGACCCAGCAATCCTACCCCCCCTACTTAAGAATTCATCACAGGGGGATAATGACACATCTTGACAAAGGATGTTCGTACCTGGATGTCTGCTGCGGCTAATAACTACTGAGCACTCCCTGTAGGCCGTCCACTGCGTGAAGGCATCTTAACACATTATCATTTAATCCATATAACAATGCCATAAGATAGCGCTCTCTCTGTATATTCTAGGTGAAGGATTAAAGCTTTGTTAAATATGCTACGACGTGCAATGAAACATAGTGGGTGCTGCTGAAAATGTTTCTGGTATTCACTGACACTGGAGGATATTCCCAATGTACTGCCTAAAAAGCAAGTGACAGAAGAGTGTGTAAAATCCTGTGTGGGTCCCTATGGTTAAAAGCTACCTGAAGGGAGGTCCTTCAGAAAATCAATAGCAACTGTCTCTAAATGGTAGAATTTATGGGGATACTTTCTCTTCTTTATAGTTTTTCTGGACTGACTGAATTACTCCCCCACCCCACCCCCGACTATCAGGAAT